AAACGTCGCGATCTACATCTCAAGTGACTACATCGTGAGACAAACGATAATACACTTTATTAATTTGAACGTGTTCAACAAAATGTTACTGTTACCCGAACTAAGAACGAAGTCTGAAAGGATCACAAGGAATATAAAATCGTCATGACACAGAGTTGCTCACTGAGTGGTTAAACACCTAAGGCGATTCGTTTCTTAACTCGGTCTTAAACCTATCTGATATCACTGGTTGTCAGGTCTTCTCGCTAGAGTACAGTCGACAGACGTGTGTCACACCTACCTATGAAGGCTCACATTGTTGGTCTGTGTTGTTTTACACTTTCTTTTTTCTTTTTCTCCAGGTTGGTATCTTAGCATTCTCGCACAGGATCCAGACTCCCTCTGGTTGTTTTGGTACCACAGTGGCAGCAGGAATTCCTGCTAATTTAGCTAAATTAAAAAAGTGGGTCCGGGAACTTAGAGCGCGTGGTAAGTAAAGATTTTTCCATTTTTTTTCCCCAACATTTCTCTTAACCGTAGTTTCGGCACTTGGAGCTGAAGGTTTTCCGGCAGACCTTAACGGGACGATATGCCATGCAGATAAATCTTAACGAGAACGACAAAGCTAGCTCCTCTGGCGGCACAGCGGCGAAATGAGTCAGCCTCGTTGGCAGGGGAGGCGATGTTGGAAATGACTGCGCGTGCTCTAAGTCGCGCGCGCCATTCTCGAGTAAGGGATGAGTACCATAATAAGAAGAACCTGCGTCAAAATGGCGGAGATTTAAAATTCCCATTTGATTTTGCATTTGTTTTTATTTCGCGAAACGAAGATCGCGACAAAACAGCTAAGCTAATAGTAGGAAGTTTTTTGCTTAAAGTGAAGCATTCGTATCGAATTTACAAGTTACTGTTCAAAGCTTTTCAAGATTCATTCCCAGAGCGTCTTCGTTAGATGGGAAGAGCGATGTAATATGGTGATACATAAAGTTATAAGACGAAATCTGATAGAAAATCGAGCAATTTCAGGTTTTAGTGGACAAAAATCTGGTACCAGAATAATTTTAAGTATTTTACAGTCATTTGTACATTTTCTTAAAGGTAAATACATAAATAATTGCCTGAAACAACACCGAAAAAAATTTCCCGTGGGAACGAGAGAAAATGAATTTCAAAGTTCACAGAACCTGTGCAAACACAGGCAAAATTTAATCATCAGTTTCATTTCACCAGTACTTTCATATGTTTCATACGAAGGTCAACATTCGTTTTCGACGTTTGGTGTTGCTAGAAAGGATTTTTTTTTTGAGAAGATATTTAAAACAGTCGTACAGAAGTTTGCAATACGATATAAATAATCTTGGTACTTGGCTTTTGTCCACTCGTTGCTCGAACTTCTGGTGGATTCCGTCATAAACCTTTTTAGCTTGGGAGGTTTGGTTTCTCATTACAGACCACGTGATATTCTCTATCCATCTACGGCCCAGTTCAGACGTCGTGCTTTTGCCGTGCCGATCTAAATTCAGGAATTAAGTTCGACAAAAGCACGGAAGAAGCACGGCGTCTGAATCAAACTTTTGAATTAAGTTCGGTAAGCAATTAAGTTCGACA